ATATTCTACAATTTAATAAAGGGAAAGATGTTAAACTGTCCACACAGTAAGTTTTTCTCCTGGGATTTGGTGGAATATTCTAGTCAAACCTTCTTTTATGCCAATTTTTGGCCTTTGAGTCAAATGCCAAAGGTGTAAGGTAATTTGCTTTATAAAATCAACAAGGTATAAATGAAATATTTCTAAATAAAATGGTACTTAAAATCACTATCTAATTAGAGAAAGGAATGTGGAGGTAAATATCTCTGTAAAACAAATGTCCACATGGCAATGTAACTTTCCTTTAATCCAGAATTTAATATATTGATTTCATATAAAGTGGAGGGCAAATGTACTAGAAATCAAATGCAGTATATAATATCCATTAAGTGCATTTGTGGCTGGTCACCACAGAATCAAAACACGGGGTTAGCAACTCAGTTTAAACCATCTGTTAAATAGTTGTTAGGCAGCAGACAAATAACTAACCGGTTGCTTTGAGATCCTCACCTTTTAATTAGTTATTTTGTCACTGTGTTGACACACCCGAGATTTTACAAATAAGTGAAAGATTTTTCTTTCGTAAGAATTCATGTATCATTTGCATTTATTCTGTTACAAATGATGATTTTCGAGGAACTGATGTCATAAATGATTTCATCTCACAGATAAAGCAATCCTGTCTCCTAAAATAACTTTTTTCATCTTTGAGAATGATGAAGGCCTCATTAATTTTGGCCTTCACAACTGCTCTCTCAGTATTGGAAAACGTCACTCTCCTTAATACTGTATCTAAGCAATTTACATGAAAATAAATATACTTCAAAACTTTATATATTCACATTGAGGTTATGAAGAAACAAGAAAGAACTGCTCTTTTATAATGACAATGAACTAATTGGATCATACACTGGACTTTTAAAGAGTAATAAATCAACTCTAAAAATGATTTTTAAAAATCTGATACCAAATTGGAGGCTTGATTATCACATATTACTGAGAAAGTACAGTATATGAAAACTATTCAACCATGAAGGGTAAACTTCACAGAACACCCACACGTTGCAGTAACCTGAAATGCTTACGTGGATCTCTGAGGAAATTCAAACGGAAGAGTTACAGATGCTAATGAACAATGTCATGAAAATGAAAGTCTAGACAGTGAAGTCTGCTTCTGTGTCTTCCATGTTTTCGGTCTTGGTATCATATAGGTTACCTACAACAGAGACAAGAAAATGACGGTGGGAGCACTGTTTCTATCAGGAAGAACTGTACACTTTTTTTCTGACATGTTTAGAGATAGGTATTCGAATAAGTGTGAAAAACTTGTTTAGTGAGGTTATCTGTGTTTCGTATTTAAATTACTCTAATTTTTAGCATGAATTTAGTTGTGCTAAATGAGCAGTTTTAGGAATTAGGAACTTGAAATGATTCGTTTTACAGGAAAGACCAAGCATACGTCCATATGTTAGATATATATGAGGGGGCTTCAAAAAGTTCATGGGAAAATGGAATTAACAGATAATGAAATTTTTCCATGAAATTTTTGAAGCCCCCTCATGTTGGTCAGTAATAGAAAATAGTTAAATAGAAATCTGATTTACCTGCAAAAATATCAAGGACCATTAAAATAATGCTATAAAGAATTGATAATTGAATAGATTATATTGTTATATATTGTTAGTTTATAAAAACAGGAAACACAATTTAAATGTATTTGATCTCCATTATGTAAGTAAACAGAAATAAGTAAGTATAAAGTCTGGGGGAAAACACTCAATAAAGGGTAAAGGGTGTCTTTGGGTGGCAAATTTAAATTTCTTCCTTTTTTTTTAAACAATGTTTTATTGAACTTTTATGTTTACACAGCAAGTGAGGTTTGCTTTCACTAATTTCTGCATTGATTGTACATTTATTACAATCTGTCAACATTCTCTTTGTGTCCTGTTTGCTCCATGTCCAGTACTCTAGTTTCTTCTCATCTTTGCTTTTGAGTAATTGTTAACCTTTTGGTCTTATACGTTGTTGTCGTTAAGTGCTGTCAGTTTGGTTCCCACTCATAGTGACCCTGTGTAGGGTTTCTGAGGAGCGGCTGGTGAGCTTGAACTGCCGACCTTGTGGTTCAAACCACACTTCACAGTCTAGCTACCTTAATCCGCAGTGCCCCACCAGGACTCCCATAGATGGATTCAAGCAGAGCATAGATCTTAGGGTGGTGTTAGGTGCTGTTGAGTTGGTTCTGACTCATACTGACCCGGTGCACAACAGAATGAAGCACAGCCTCATCCTTTGCCATCCTCACAATTGTTGCGGCTGCTGTGCTAATCCTTCTCATTGAGGGTCGTCGTCTTCTTCTTTTTTTTTTTTGCTGACCCTCTACTTTACCAAGCACGATATCCTTCTCCAGGGAATGGTCCACCCTTCCTTGCTTCTAAGGAGCACTCCGGCTGTACTTCTTTCAAGACAGATTTGTTTCTTTTTCCGACAGTCCCTGGTATAATCAACATTCTTTTCCAACACCATAATTCAAAGGCATTCTTTTTTTTTTTTTTTACTTTTTATTGTGATCTGAGTGAAGTTTTACAGACAAGATCATAATATCATCAGCTTCACATTCAACAAACCATACACTTTGTTTCATCTTAATGACTGCAATCCCCTCCATGAAACAGTTCTGAGGGCAGGCCTCTGTATCCAGAATTTAACACAGTACCGATTCTTGATTGTTGCTCAGAAAGGCTTACCAATGGGGCCAGGGAAAAAGAAGAAACTAGTTTCCCAACTATAAAATTCCCATCCGTTTTTGTTAAAAATAGACATAAAGGGTTGCTTAAATGTAAGAAATGAAAATAAATGCCATTTGACACAGCCTGACTGTAACCCTGCACTGGTCAATCTTGGTTCATAGAACTAGTTCAGGATTTACTTCCTGTGCACTCGGAACTCAAGACAAACCGAAATTTAGAAGGAAAAAGAAGATTATCAAGAGGTAATAAAGGTACTATTAAATCTTTAAAAAGGACCAACTGTTGAGAGCTTAGCTACAAGAGTTAGTGCAGGTCTATATCAAAGCCCTTGGTCATTCACATGATGCAAACCAGTGAATCTCATGTTGACAGATGAAGCACCACGTGCAAGAAAGGTGGGAAGCACCACTTGGAGGAACTCCTTAGGGCACACGAAGGAGGTGGAGCTTGAGTGGTAGCACTGTCTTCACAGAAACAGGTCAGACTGGGGACTTTAGGGAAGCAACCTAGAGATGTGCTAGGCTGTTAAGATTTGAGCAACAATTTAAGACTTCTTTGCCTTTCAAATTAAAGAAGGTTATTATTTATCAGGCTGCTTAGTAATTTGTAGCAAATGTTATTGCAGTTGTGTTTAATTCCTGTGCCCATTAATGACCTCACAACCTTGAGCAAAATTGGAGAAAGAGCTCTGAGAAAATGAGTTAAAACTGGGCAGACGTACAACAAACCTCCAATTGTGAAGCCTTTGAGACAATCATCTCTTAGAATCTTTAAGACACATGGAGATAAAAGTGGGCACTGGTTTGGGTATAAAAATGTTAAGAGGTTTTTCTTGTTTGTTTTTAATGATTTTGAGTTTTGTCCCACTTTTTTCTCCCATTCTATCCAGGACCTTCTATTCTATTGTGATCCCTTTCAGAGTGGCCAGCAGTGGTAGCCTGGCACCGTGATCTAGTTGTTCTTGTCTCGGGATCATGGAGACTGAAGTTAGCCTGGTCTATCAGTCCTTTGGAGTAATAGTCTTTTATTTTCTTAACTCTTCTTTGCTCCAAATGGGGAGAGACCAACAGGTGCATCTCAGCTGCTCACAAGCTTGCTCACACTCACCACTCACCATAGTAAGGTTTAGTACCTTGTCTTTGTGGACTGTGTTATGCCAACTGACCTTGGTGCGCCCTAGGATTATTCCCCTGAGCCGCCAGGACCAGTGACTCATTTCCTCAAGGAGTTTGGTTATATAACTTTGTCCCCTGTTTGCTTTACTAAATAAAGGGATATATTTACAGCATATACAAATATGTATGTAGAAATATCATCTGCCAAACCGATGTGTATGGTCATGAGTGTAGTGCCTTTTTCGTACTCACGCCTGTTCATCTTGCCTATCTGCCTGTGAATCCACTTGTAGATTCATGTTTGTATGACTGACAATGCAGGAGTGAGTAGGTAATAGTATTTGCCTTTGCTGTCTGTAACTCTTATGTACCTCTCTGTATCTTCGTTTTCTTTAGTGATACTGTGATCACTCTCTTATTATATATTGCCTTTCTGTTCACCCAAGTTAATATGGGCCTATTATTTAGTTGGTGGTTTTCCCTTCCCTCCCCTTTTGTCCCTGTTATTGTTAAGTGCTGTTGAGTGGGTTCTGACTCATAGCAACCCTACAGACAACAGAATGAAACCCTGTCCAGTTGGCAGCTCCACACTCTATGTGTAACCCTATCCTTAACTTTTTATAAAAGATGACTCATACAATTGTTGATTCACTTATTTCACTCACTGCTCTGATAGAGACCAGTAGAGCCCGAGACTGGCCTTCGTGTCTGGAATCGTCAGTCTAAGGACAGACAGGCCTACAAGGTGAACAGTAACACCACAGAGGTATGCTGCACACCTTGAGATAATCAACCATTTGAGATCAAAAGAGCAGCATTTACCTAAAAACAAAGTTCAAAAGGGTTAGAAAAGGAGGAATGGAGACAGGAAATGCGGGGAGGAAGTGGGTTACATAATCTTACTGATCCCATAAGGAGATGGCAATCAATGTCATCAAACAAAATGTGTATGAAGTGTAGAACGGAAAAAAATTTACTTTGTCAACTTTTATTTACATATCAGTAAAAAGTTGAGGCGGGGGAGTAAGCAATATGGTGCAATAGCTGGGCTTCATGAGACCTGGGTTCTGGCCTTCAACTAGAGTGAAAATCATCCCAAGCAGACTTGAGGAAAGTCATTAGATGTTTCTGGAGGAAAGTCTTGGAGTTTTTTCCACTGTCAAATAAAAGGGCTGGATGAAATGATGGGATTGAGCCTGATGATCTCTAATAGCTCCTTCTCTTGCTCAGATTCCTGGACACTCCTTTCTGTCTCCTGAGGTGCTATCATCTGTGTGCTCCAGTTTCTTACCTGGAACACCTCTCTGCCTCCATCTTCAAATAGGAATATACAAAGGGGATTATTTCAAGAGGACTGGTTTTTAAATTTAAAACTTTTTTTTTTAAGCCCATTGTGTCAAACAGGTGACAGCACGAGATGTCAGTGCAAAAGCTCTGGCTGTCTTTAGGATAGAGAGAGTGAGGGGGTGGAGGGATGGCCCTGGGGAAGCACAGCTGGAGAAACATAGTAGTACTGAGTACATGGTAGTCCTCCAAAGGGCCTCCTGAGATGTTCAATTTTGTTTGCAATTATATTCCATGTATTTACTGGGAGTTGGCCAGGGTGAGAGGAACAAGGCCAAAATGAGTTCTGATATCCAGAGAATTACAGACTGGGAATAAAACCATAGAAATCATGTCTTTTCATTCTCTCAAGTGAAACAGTGCCAAATAAGAAATATTTTTTATATAACGATGATATATGATAAGAACTTGGTATAAGCAGGTCCTTTTCTTAAACTATGGGCTTTGTTTCAGGGATTTACTTATCCATCACGCTATTGGTTAGCTGCTCGGTGACAGAGAAAGCAATGAATCATTTAGCTGGTAGCGTTTTCTTGCTGCTCTAGAGTTCACTAACATGCCTGCCAAGCCTCTACCTACAAACTCTGCTTTTGTTGCCATCTCAGAACATGTGCCATCAATGAGCACATGGCCTGGTACAGTTTCTTATGCAGACCAGGTGCTCCATTAATATTTGCTGAAATGAATTTTAAAACTTACTACTCTAAGTCTGGAGGAGCTCTGGTAGTGGAGTGAACTACGAGCTGAGCTGCTAGCCGAAAGGTCAGCAGTTCGAATCTACCAGCTGCTCCACAGGAGAATGATGAGGCTTTCAGCTGCTATAAAAATTTACAGCCTCAGAAACCCTATGCAAGTTCGCTACACTTACCACCTCCACACCAGAGTTACACTTAGAAGTTTCTTTTTGGGTTTTTTTGAGGGATGCTTCATTTTTGTGGGCAGAGAACAGGGTCCTGATACTAATTGGTGGAATAAATAGTTTGACACATCATGGCTCATTGATCAGGCTGCTCAATGTGCAGTCAGAATTATGTTGATGGATTAACACAAGAAATACAGTAAATGCTTCAATGAAATTTAACACTGGCTGATATGGTTGTATTATAGAAATGTATCATTAATGCCAGATACACTGGCTTATTCAATCACTCTATGAAAGCTATGAAATCCATGGCAACCGGTTTGGTTTTGGTTTTTTATTTATTGGGTGTCCAAGATATGACAAGCAATGAGTGATTACTTCTCAAAACCCTTTTGCGGGAGGTGGGAGGGCAGAATGGGTGTGAATTTGATCATATAAAATCATTGATCCCTGTTCTAAAAAGAATTGTCATTTTATGTTAATATATTTGTTAAGGTTTTGGAAAGCAAATGTTGTGGTACTAAATTCTTCAAACTTGCTCTTCTCAGGTTTTCATAAATATGAAACAGTGTGAAGAAAATGCAGCTTTTCATGCTCTTAATATTCAATGCGAAAAATATCTCTGTGCACAGGGTACTGACTAGGGTCTGGGTCGGTGGGTTGGTTGAAGAAGCAGTTTGCTCACGCATCTGCATCTCTGATGTTACCAACATTTTCAATGCAAATATTTTCTTTGGTACCATATTTTCCAGCAGGTGATGAAAATGTAAATGTGTTTTACCTGTTGGTGGTAGAGAAATGCCGTCCAGTCTTTCATCACAGTCAGCTGCCTCTGCTGGTTACAAGCATAAAACACAAATCTCATTAGTCTTGGAGGCACGTTCATTTCACCGTATAGAGTAATACAATTAACTACCTCAGCATACACAGTAGTTTTCACTTTTCTTTGTACTGTGGTACAAATTTCTTTGTACTGTGGTACAAATTTCAGAACTGTTACTTAAACAAAATAATTTTGTGATGATAGTGACATAAAATCAAGAGGCTTTAAATCTCTGAATCTTACTTACTCCTTATAGATTTCAGTTCAGTTTCACAGGCTTATCAAGGTTTTAAATATCCCACTCACATCTGTTTAATGTGATCATGGAAGGCATGAAGGTGGGTGAATTCCAGTTGTAGAATTTTACTTCTTACCCCAGACCCATTCCTATGGAGCAGGCTCAGGAAGTCTTGAGAAGCAGCCTTCCTTTGGAGATGTGAAAATTCACTCAGACCCTAGAGAGCTTCCAGTAGTCTAACAATAGCATCGATTCAGTCATAAAGGAAATCAAAAGGCATACATGTCTTTTCAAAGGCTTTTTCATTTCTATGCTTTAAGATGCTAACTTTTGTTTATTTCTGATACGTTTCAATGTTCTTAGGAATTTTCCACAGGCAAGACCTTTAGTCACAGGAAACCTTCGGCTAAATGGAAGAAAAAAAAAAAAAAGAAAGAAAAGGTGCCCACACATCTCCAGGTGACTAATTGGCTCTTCAAGGCTCCCCTAACATGTCACGGATGGGTCAAACATCTCATTACAGCTGTCTGGATCATTTTGGAGGTGCTGTGTTGCAGGGCTAGTGGTCCCCTTGGGAAGTTTCCTGCTCTCCAGTACTTCCCTGCTCACTCGACGTGTGCACATGGAGCCTACCCAGGAAGCCGAGCCATTTGAATCCACGTGTGACGCTGAGGTGGTGGAAAGCAAAATGAACACCCTGCTTGTTTTGACTGCTGTTGCTTCAGAAACAATCAGGATTTACATACGGCTAGGCAAGGTCAAAGAGTTGCACCTGAAGTTCATCCTCTAACATCTTGTCCTCAGAATAATATTAGGGATGGGAGCTGACCTGAGCATGAGCACACTGAAAAGAGAGAATATTCCGAAGACCAGTTTTGTTTGGAGTAGAGTAGAAACTACTCTTGGTTAACATCCAAATATTTAAGTCAAATGATAGGTTATACAGTATGCCTTTAATGTTTTAATTGCTCATAGAAGAAATATAGGAAGGACATATTAAAATGTTAAACAATGCTTCTCATTTACTGAAAGCCTTACTGGTATTTAGATTTTTGTTCTTTGGGTTTTAAAACAATTATCATTTTGTATATTAAAATATATATTATTTTTACATTTAGAAAATGCTATTTTCTTCTAACTGGTTTGAGTAGATTTGAGTAAGTAGATGAACTATACAGTAAGGTTTAAAAAGTCTTTAGTCATAATGATAATTTGTTGTTGTTGTTAAGTGCCACTGAGTCAGTTCCAACGCATAGCGACCCTGTATAGGGTCTCCGAGGAGCGACTCGTAAGCTTGAACAGTAGACCTTGTGAGCTTGAACCACCGACCTTGCGGTTCAAACAGACTTTGCAGTCCAGCGCATTAACCCAGTGTCACAAGTTGACACCAATTATTGTATTGCTCTCTATTTGATAAGAACTTTGCTAGCATTATGTCATTGAACCCTCTGAAAACCCTACAAATTAGGTCTGTTATTCCCATTTTAACAAATGAGGAAACTAAAGCACATAAAGTTTATCCAAGACAATATAGTGACAGTGCCAAGGATCTGAGCCACGTTAATAATGCCTGGGATCTTATCATTTATCATATTGCTATTGTTGTTAAGTGCCATGGAAATGGTTCTAACTCATAGCACTGGGTTTCCAAGGGTCATAGTGACCCTAGACAGGGTTTCCAAGGTTGAAAATCTTTACGGGAGCAGAAAGCCTCATCTTTCTCCCGAGGAACAGCTAGTAGTTTCGAACTGCTGACCTTGCGGTTGGCAGCCCGATTCGTAACCACTACACTACCAGGGCTCCTTACATATAGTAGCGTAGTGGTTACGAATTGGGCTGCTAACCTCAGAGGCAGCAGTTCGAAACTACCAGCTGTTCCTCAGGAGAAAGATGAGGCTTTCTGCTCCTGTAAAGATTTACAGCCTCGGAAACCCTGTACAGGGTCGCTACGAGTCGGAACCAGCTCCATGGCACATAACAACAACAACAAACATAATATATATCGGAGTCCTGGTTGGCGCTGTGGGTTAATGCGCCAGACTGCAAAGCCATTTGAACTCCAAGGTCAGAGGTTCAAGCTCACCAGCTGCTTCTCGGAAACCTTATGCAGGGTCACTATGGGTCCCAACCCACTCAAAGGCACTTAACAATAACAACAACAACAACAACAAACTATTAATGGTTAAGTGCCCTACAGGCATTAACTCAGGTAACCTTTAATCACAATCTTGAAGGGAAAATTCATGATCCCATTTTACAGATGAGAACTGAGGCTGATGGGAATTCCTTGACTTGACTAGTGGTGGTGGTAGTGAGCTGTGGAGACGCTTCCGACTCATAGCGACCATGTACAGGGTTTCCCAGGCTGTAAATCTTTACAGGAGCATAAAAGCCTCATCTTTTGCTGACGGAACAGCTAGTAGTTTCGAACTGCTGCCCTTGAAGTTAGCAGCTCAACTCGTAAACACTTCGCTACCAGAGCTCAATTGACTTCATTGTTGTTAAATGCCGTCAAGTTGGTTCTGACCCATAGCGACCCTGTATAGGGTTTCCAAGGAGCAGCTGGTGAGTCTGAACCACCAATCTTGCAGTTCAAATGGCTTTGCAATCTGGCGCATTAACCCACAGAGCCATACCAGGACACCTAGAGTTACTAAATAAGCTGGGATTTAACCCTAATTTGTCTAACTCTGTAAACCTGTGCTTTAATCACGACCCTGTTTTAGTCAGGGGCAATGCCTGGATCCTTCATAGCTCTGTTATTAATAGTTCAACATATGGCAAGGGCTTCAAAATGTTATGGAAAAATTCCATTATCTTTTAATTGCATTTTCTCCATGAATTTTTTGAAGCCCCCTTGTATATCTCTTGAAGAATTATGAGCTAACTTTTTAAATGTTCAAATTTTAGTTCATTTTATGTCTTAGTATCTTTCTATACTTTACATGTAGAATTGCTTTTCATTTAGCTATAGCAGAAACCTGATTTGGGTAGAAGTTGCAATTCAACTAGCTTCAGCCTTAAAAAAAAAAAAAAAAAAAAAGGCTTATGCAATTATGCACTTTAGTAAGAACAAAACATGTACAACTGAAAAAACTACTTCAATTATTGTATGTACATTAACATATGCTGGCTGCATGAACAGGGTCCAGAAGTCAGGGATGAAGAAGATCATGGTGTTATTTAAATTTAATCAAAACATCTGCCTGTAACAACAAGCTCACCATCTTTCTTCCCTGGTAATAGTCAAGTTGTGAAACTTGGGAAAGATTGAGCAAGCCCCATAAAAATTTAATAGCAGCGACAGCTTTACTCTTAGATTTAACACAAATAAAAAATTGTGATTTCAGCTTGGAGGAAATAATCTAATGAAAATGATAAAAATCCACACCAGGGAAGGAATCATTCCAGTTATAGAAAAAAGAATTATTACATGTGATGAGAGCCCCGAATGAATTTCTATTTGGATTAGGATAACAACCTTTCAAATTCTGTGCGGGGCAGTACAGACTGCCTTAAGTGGTTAGCTGATTAGCTTGCCCAGTCAGAGTCTGTACCTAATCCCACGAACGGAGCCAAATATGATAAATGAGGTTGAAGTTGTGGAATACCTATGATACACTGTTTACATTATCATTTAGACTGAAAATAATCAAGACAAAAAAGCATGAGAGAAAGCACTAGTATTGACCCAGGCCTCTCAGTTCCCATCAGCTTTCAGGAGGAAATGCAACTGGCTCTACTTTCAATTTGCGAGGGTCCCACATTTGTGCCACTTGAGGAGAATGGAGTGTAATGGTATTTGACAAAACTGGGAGACAAAACCTATTTGGCAGGTCATGCTGATGTGCTATCATTTGGGTCTGGTTTGGTCTGCATGACAGGCTCAGCTTTTCCCAACAGAAGCCTTCCACTTCTCCAACACAAACAAAGCCTGCTATGAAGGCAGGAGACAAGTGCCAAGGTGCCAATCACAAATATGTAGGCATATCATCTAAACGCACTGGTCAAAAGTTAAAATGCTGTGAATCAAATATGATGATGACTGTGGGATAAGGGTAGACAGTATTCTGAGCATGTGAGCGGGTGCTACTGGGAGGGGCAGGGACGGGAAGCAGCACAAAGTGTGGGTCCCATTTTCCAGAAATAGGTGTGCATGTGTGGAAAATGAGCTTCTGTTGAGGGAAGCAGTCATACAAACGTCGAAGTGACTAAGAACTATGCCACTGGTCAGTCTAATTGTGGGAAAGAGTAGAAGGAATGAAGGGGGAGGTTCCTATTGTGTGGTATGTATGTGTACTGGCGGAAAGGGGAAGGGAATAGGAACCAGAATTTTAAATAATTGGTCTTAGCATCTGAGAACAGAAAAGAAAAGTGTGTAAACATATAGTATGGAAAAGACACCAAAAGCATACACATGATTTAAACTGGACGTATTCTTTTAGTCACGTGACCCACTGCCAAGTCTTTTAGAGACTTTTACTAACTGTTATCAGCTAGAGACATGTGTTCTGTAACACAAAGCCTCTTCCTTTTTCTGGGTGGTATCTGCACCACTGAAGTTAAATTTGTTGTTTAGTGTCATCGAGTTGGTTCCTACTCAAACTTTATAGGGTTTCAGAGGAGTGGCTGATAGGTTTGAACCACAGACCTTGCAGTTAGCTACCTAGTGCTTATCCTACAGCATCACACCAGGACTCCATTAAGTTAAATTGATAACACTGAGATTTTGGTTTTAAAGAGTACTTTTCTTTCAAGATCCCAAGGAGTTTCA